TATATATATATATATATAAGCCATACCTGGCATATATATATGCCAGGTATGTGCTCTCAATGTCCAAACACAGACTAAGCATAAATAAACATTTAATCACATTTAAAAGTTTAGGTCAATGTAAGTAACAGTTGTTCCACTGTTGTGCATTAAATCAGACAAAACTCTTCACAATAGTTAAAATATTAATTTAAATGACACATTTTCATGTCTTTACGATATGATTCCGCTGAAAGCCGATAATATTCATCACAAATTGTCTCCAACCCTACTCACAACTACTTGCCATTGTCAATAACCTTCTTTGCCTTTGTTTTGTTGTATTTTTTTAAATTCTCCATTATATATTCAGATGCCCATGGTTTCTAAACTTCCATTGTTCTGCATAAAAATGCGGCAATTTAAAAATTCCGAATAAATGAAAAGGTATACATTGGTCCCCCCAGGATGACCTGCCTCGTGTGAAGGTGGAGATTGAGGCCATGAAGAGCCTGAGTCATCAGCACGTCTGTCGCCTCTACCACGTCATAGAGACCTCCACCCAGATCTTCATGGTGCTGGAGGTAAGCACAAATACACAGAGAGAGTGTGTGTGTGTGTGTGTGTGTGTGTGTGTGTGTTAAATGTTTATGCTCATTGTCTCCTGCTGTCCTTTCTTTTCCCTCTCAGTACTGTACGGGTGGGGAGTTGTTCGACTACATCATAGCAAAGGACCGTCTGTCCGAGGAGGAGACCAGGGTGTTTTTCAGACAAATTGTGTCTGCGATGGCTTATGTCCACAGCCAGGGATACGCACACCGGGACCTCAAACCGGTAAAAAAAAAAACAACCACTGACTACATGAGAATGTGCCGCATGAGAGAAACTACAACAAAATGCGTCTGCTCGTCTGTGATATTGTAGATATTAATGTTAATGTCTGTTGCAATGCTTGTAGGAAAACTTACTGATTGATGAAGACCACAACTTGAAGCTCATAGACTTTGGACTGTGTGCCAAACCTAAGGTACATAACCACATTTCTTGTCTCACTGTGTTTTTGTCAGGAATATGAGGTCTATTAGCTTTAAGTAATGAGCAAAGGGAGAAAAATATATCTAATTATACAGGTTTGGAGTGGCTTATTCTACTGCCAGGCCCAGGAGTACATAGAATATAAAACATGTTAATGTCATCATGTATATAATGAAGCTTTGATTGCTATAGGGATTTATTGGCCCCATAAAATAATACAATAAATGAAGGAATTAAAATGTAAACTGTTTTTATTGTGGAAACTGCAGCGTAGTTAAAGCAAGATTTAAAAATAAAGAAGATAGACAAAATATTTATAACACTTTAAACACACACACAAATACTTTATACTGACCTAAAATGCTGCTGCTGCTGTTACAGTGTGGCAGTGTTATTTTGTAAATGTACAATTCCCTGGTGTTTTGTTATGTTAGAGAGTTAGTTCGTTAGTTGTGAGTTATAAAGTTATAACCATTAGCAAGAAAATACTACTTGCGCTGACCGTAGCACTCTTTGTAGCAAACAATCTCATATTTTGTTGCCTATTGAAGAGTTACAGCTGTTGTTTCAGCTGTGCACCATTATGGTGGTGTATGAACATTTCTTATTGTACAGTAAAATAAAACCGGTACACGTATCACATTGTGAAATCTAATGTGAGTGGATCTAGCAGATAAAAGCTGATGCCTAAAGTCAAAGTGATAAGTGCCTATAAACATGACGTATGCATAAATATTGTGTGGTCTATCATGTGGTTATCTCTCTCACAGGGAGGTTTGAATTATGAGCTGATGACGTGTTGTGGGAGCCCTGCGTACGCTGCTCCTGAACTCATCCAGGGAAAAGCATACATTGGTTCAGAGGTAAGAGATGCGTGCTGTTTACAGCTTTTAGAATCACCAGGGTTACGTTTTAAAGAGCTGCCCTTATTTAAACCCCCAAAACGTGCATTTGTTTCTCACTCAAAGTCATGATTACCTGCCTGTTCCACAGTTCTGCTTTTTCATGGTGTCCTGATCATATTCACTGGTGCATGACTCGGTGCAACTGAGCTGTGAAATCCCAACTGTAACACTTGAAGTTGAAATGCTGCTGTGTGATGTTTTAACCTCCAGGCTGATGTGTGGAGTATGGGAGTGCTGCTGTTCGCTCTGCTCTGTGGATACCTGCCCTTTGATGATGACAACTGCATGGTCCTCTACAGGAAGATTGCAGTAAGACAATTTCCCAGCAGTCTTAATATTTCAGAAAATTAGGCATTATTATTATTTCTTTTATTTGAACAGAGACAGTGCACAATAAAACATTAACCCTGTATATAACAAGGAGAGATGCATTGCACCAGGTTTAGCAAATTGCTATTTTTCCACTGTAGTCCTGGGCAAACGTAAATGGAACATACAATAAATTAAAAACTGTTACTAAAATTCACAGCTATGAAAATTTCAATTACAAAGTTATGAATACACATATTCCCACATCATTAAATCAATTTAGCCCTCACTCACAAGTTATTAGAAAGTATTAGAAAGTCTGAACCCTAAGTATGTCATTGAAAGCATTGTTTTAATGTATTAATTATGTTATTGTATTATTTGACTTGTGAACAATCTAGATACTATATGAATTTATAAAATGAAGTTCCTAAATATCCATTTCCTACAATTATTGTGTGTTGTTATGGTCAGACACAATATCGCCAAAAGGCAAAACCAGAGAGTCCTTATGTTTATTTCTGTCTCTAATGTATCAATGTTTCATAATGCAGTTTTGTATGTCTTTTATATCTTCAGAGAGGTAAATATGATAACCCTCGGTGGCTCTCTCCAGGCAGCATCCTCCTCCTCAACCAGATGATGCAGGTATATAACCAGTCATTCTGTTTCCTCTTTTATGAATATAAATTGTATGTATTTGTACAATATTTTAGACATACTGTAGATTGTTGGATATGTAGTCTCTTGCATGTTGAGTTGTAGTTTCTATGTGTGTCCTTTAGGTGGACCCCAAGCGGCGTATAACTGTTCGACAGCTGCTGGACCATCCCTGGGTGATGAAAGAATACAACAGCCCCGTGGAGTGGCACAGCCAGCAGCCGGTACACACACACACACACACATTCATACACAAAAACAACGTAATACAGATTAAAAATATAAACAGAACTGTAAACACCGTAGTAGCATTTAACTGTTTACAGTTTTACTTGAGCATGTTTCTATGGAGTTCAAATAATTCCATAATATTTAATATAAATAGTATTTTTGGAGAATTGCTGTTTTACTTCTCATGTATAAAAATATAAAAGAGGAGCATCTATCTTGGATTCTGTGTGAACATATTGGGATTTTTTTCCCTGTAGCTCGGGCACATAGATGTGGACTGTATCACTGAGATGGCTGTCAACCTGAAACGATCGAGGGAGAGCACCACAGCGCTGGTCAAGGAGGTATGTGTCTGATCCATTCGTAATCAGTCGATGTTTATTGTGGATGTTAATCATTTTTGTACCCCTTGTTTTCTCTGCAGACATAATATTTTCTATACTTTCTATTTGATGTGAAGTCTAATGCATCTTAATTCCTATAGTGGCGATATGACCAGACCACAGCCACCTACCTGCTGCTGCTGTCAAAGAAGCAGAGGGGCAAACCTGTCCGCCTACGCCCTGAACCACCAGTCTGTGAGGACTCTTGCTCTCCACTGCTCCAGGGAATACAGGTCTGTCTTTACAGCTGCATGTTCTGGTTCAGTCTTCATGACTTTACCCCATACCTCAAATATTTACTGTTTCCCACTTCCAAATGTTGTGGGGCAGTTTTTTTTGTTTTATTTTACAATTTTATATTTTCTCTCTCGCTTTCAGACTAGGGAAGGCCTTCACTTCAGCGAGGATGAAGACGCTGTGATTGTGGGTTCTCTGGACTTTTGCTCAGACTACATTGATGATAGCCCGTGGGTTTCAGTCACACAGTATACACCCCAGGGGGTCAGAGGTCAGCCAGATGGAGCTACAAACAACAAAGATGCGGTATGTGAAAGTTGGGACAAATGTATGTTTTTGCTCTCTCCCATGTCCTTACAGATAAAGTTTGGATTAAAAACCTTCTCTTTAGGCTCGTTAGCAGCAGTGGTCTAACTGCTTCTATCTCTTCTTTGTATTTCTAAAGAGACTAGCATCTCCATCAGTGGAGAAAAGATGTGCTTACAGCCCAACCCCAGAGAGGGTGCGAACGACCACACAGCACGGACAGGAGAGGAGGGACAGAGTCCGAGAGCGAACTAGTGAGAACAAGGAGAATATCGCCGTGCAGGACAAAGATGTTGAAATATTTGCGTTGCCTCCTCCTTGGACTCCGGTGTCCAGTAAGAAGAACGCACGACCCAACAAGAATGTGTTGACCACACCCAATCAAAATGCTAACGTCAATGGCACTAAAACCAATGTAGGCACACCAAAAGGTAAGAGGAGTCTCTTGGTTACTCAACCAATGGCAGTAATGAAGTACAGACACTGCAGGGTTTCAGTTCATCATGCAGTTTATTTGTCTACTGTAATTGTTTTTGTTCCAAACAAGGGCTTTGGAGTACAATCTCTATTAGATTATTTGCATTAGCTAACTGCCCCTCTCCACGTTGTGCTCTTTCATTTATCTGTCCCTCGCTCAGTCTCATGCAGCTCTCATAATCACAAGTGCCACATCCACATGCCACACATTTGCAAGTAAATTGTCTTCTGGTAATAAACTCATTTGTTGGCCCTGTTTTTATCCCAAAGCCACTCATATTTCTATGATTTAGCTGTCATTGCACCACTGAAAAATGGACACACTCATACGCACACTTATTATCACTGTCAACTCAAAGGTGAGGTTATTATCAGGAAGCTAATTCTATTCACTTATCTATAAATGAAGGACACTAATATGAATGGAGAATCATTAAAGTCTTAATTATTTGTCAAAGTGAATTCTCTGCTCGCACGTCCGGCCTCATTAGTTCCCTCTATAGACTCGGCCACAAGCCGGCCAACATGCTGTGGCTGACCTAGTTGGTGTTAAACCCTTTTGGAGTCTGGCTCAGTCCCCTTCTCTTTACAGGCTCTTGTTCTCTAAGCTACAGTGCAGACATGCAGCCTCTGACACACAAACACACACACAACGTGGTCTGTGTGTGTCTCTCCCTAGGCGTGCACTGTGACAGGTGTAGCTGTCTCTTTCCTCTGCTCACTGTCCCACGTGGGCTGTAGTGACATGTGTTCTCTTGCCACTAAAGCCTAGCTGAGTGTGTGTGTGTGTGTGTGTGTGGCTTCTTGTCTCTGTTTATACCAAAGCCTTTGTGTTCACAACTCCAATGTAAAAGCCAGCCAGTTCCATGCATAAGAGATAATGGCTGTACTGGTCAATTTCTCATTTAAGCCCATCCTGTTTTTTCCCCTTTTATTTCCTCTTAAGAGGCTTTGAACTTGGAAGAATCGTTTAATTCCGTATTGCCTGGACAGTTTCATATATTATTTTATATCTGCATATTCTAACTCTTTATTATAGCTACAAGGTTTGTTTATGTCTGTGCACTTTTATGTACACATCTACTCAAGTTTTATTTATGAAGCTGCAACTAACAATTATTTCTGTTATCAATTAATGCAAATAGTTTTCTTGATTAATTGTTTGATCTATGAAACATTCAAAAACAGTAAAAAATGCCCTTTGCAATTTCCTGGAGCCCAAAGTGACCTCATTAAATGTCCAAAGCCCATTATTAAACTTACTATAACGTAATCATTTTCTAGTTGAAATTACTTGAACAATTAGTCAATTATCAAAATACCAATAAATTTTTCTGTTCGATTAACCGACTAATTGTTGCTGCTCTACATATTTTTTAACTTTGGATTTTGAGTCGAATGTGATATAAAGTTCTGTTGGTTTGAACAATGTTTGCAAGAGTATTTAATGACACAGAGTGGTGTGAGAGGTTTAATGTGTCCAAATTCACTTTTTTGTGTGTGTTGCAGGTGAAGGCAGTGCCTCTAAAGAGCACAATAAGAAGAGGGCAGCAGAGAACAAGGAGCTTCCAAACGTTGAAATACTGGCCTTCAGTCCTGAGCGAAGGTGAGTGGCCTGCAGGATGAGCGCTCTAAGGTGAAAGATAACTGGACTCCACTCATACAGCGCCTTTCTACTCTTGTAACCACTCAAAGCTCTTTACATGTCACATTCGCCTATTCACACACATTCATAGGCTGATGGTCGAGGCTGCCATGCAACTGCTCATCATCGGTTCAGTATCTTGTAAAAGATAGACACTTTGACATGTAGAAGCAGAGCCGGGGATCGAGCCAGCAACCTTCTGATTAGTGGATGACCTTCTCAATCTCCTGAGCCACAGCTGCTATAAGGGAAAGTAGTGTGTTAGTAGCTGAATGTGGTAAAGGCTGACAGTGACGGGGCAGGAGGGAGGATAAAGTCCACATCTACGATTGCTGGAGACTTCAGGGTGGGCTGTAGGTTAAAGAGACTGAACCACAATTAAAAGGTGATAGGTTTGTCCATAAAGTCAGCCTGAATAAAATAATCACCTAAATGATTAAATAATTGGACAGAAATGGTACACAGCACAGTATAGTTTCTGCTCTAACACTGAACTGTAAACCCATGACCTAGCTGAGGGGTTAGGTAAGAGCACTTCAATCAAATGACCCACCAAAGTGAGTAAACGTGAGACCCTGTTTTGCTCTGCAGGTCTCGGTCTTTGGACATGGCTGGTATTGGAGACAGCGGGAAGAAGAAGAGAGGAGGAAAGGTGTTTGGTTCCCTGGAGAGAGGCCTGGATAAAGTGATCACAATGCTCACTCCCAGCAAGAGACGAGCCATGCGTGACGGCCCACGCAAGATCAAGGTATGTCGAAGTTGTGCACCATGTCACCTTTTTCTGTGTCACACGTAAAGTATTGTACACATCACAGCCTTTCTGTGTGTCTGTTTCCTCTAGGCGCAGTACAACGTCACTCTGACCAGTCAGACCAACCCAGACCAGGTCCTTAACCAGATCCTCTCCATCCTGCCGGAGAAAAACGTTGATTTCACACAGAAAGGGTAAAAAGACGCACGTTATCCCCCTTTCTGATCACACTGACAAGTCTTTCATCCAATCCTAATAGTCTCCTTCGCCCTTCATTTAGGTATACTCTGAAGTGTCAAACCTGGGGCGACTTTGGGAAGGTAACCATGGCATTTGAGCTGGAGGTGTGCCTGCTCCAGAGGCCGGAGGTCGTCGGGGTCCGCCGCCAGAGGCTGAAGGGCGACGCCTGGGTCTATAAGCACCTGGTGGAAGACATCCTCTCCACATCCAGGATCTAAATAATGCACTTTCCTGTCAATATCACTTCCAGTGTCAGTGGACACTAGCTTTTTTGTGTCAGCAACATGACACACCCATTGTCCAAGTATTTAGGAGGATTGATTAGTGATTGATGTACAGATTCGAACATAGGATGGTGTCTCAGCAACATTAATGATCAGTCCTACATTATTTATAGTGAATATTTGAAATTGTCCACAGGCCAACCTGCAATCCCCAGAGTACATGTTACATTAAATTTATGAGCATTACATGTCAAGAATCTGTAAAAATATCTTGTTTTATGTAGAATATTGTTGTTTTACTCCCCGCCTTCGTAAGCTGAATAGGATCTGTGTCAGTCCTCTTGAAATGAATGTGTGTGTGTGTGTGTGTGTGTGTGTGTGTGAGAGAGAGAAATCTAACCACGCTATTTACAGCATACCTTCTGGCTACTTATTACCATATTTATGTCTTGATGTTGTTATTCATCCCTGTAGGAGCTAAACTTGATTGAATAACATAAAGAAGCAGAACAATTATTAATTTACTGTCATTGTTTTTTGATGTACATGTACGTGTTTACAATTCTTCCGTTATGACATTTTTACATGGTTGTCTGTTGTAGGATGTGTCTGCTTTACTTTCTTATTAGTGCTTCTTGTCTAGTTTTAAACTGTCTGTCACATCGTATCTGTAAGATTTTTACTGGCATGTAAAAGGAGCAAAATAAATGGTTTCTGTTAAATGTAATATGCTTGTGTTCATGGAGACAGATGATTGAGATAAACGTATATACTTCCTTGACATCAAATGCTCCTTTTTTTTTTTTTTTTTTCATTCAGCTGTTTGATGGTGCAGTGGTGTGTTTTACACTCTGTCATCGTCCTTCTGTTCGTCTTTTAGGCTTCACTCCTCTTTGGTACAAAGATTGATAGTGATAGTTCAGCTCAGTGACAGCATTTCTCAGTTTACCATCAGTAAAATAAGCAGTGAAAGGTGTCAAATGTCTGCGTTTCAACACTTAAGATATTTTTGGTTTGCAAGTGGCACCAACATTTTGAATAGATTATGTTTGAAAATTTTAACTTTGGGTCACTGAATTACAGGAATTTGTTCTGTGATCTAAAGTAAATTTAGAACTACAGTGAAGGATAATGATCTAGCTGGCTCAAAATGGTGCATGATCATTGTTATGGCAGAAATGACTGTAGGAGTGTGATTGTTATGACTGGAATAATGATAATCACTGACTGCAACATCTGAACAGAGTAAAAGGTGTGTAAGGGCTTCTCCCCCCTCCCCTTTCCAAGACAAGATGCCACTTAGTCATAACAGCACTGCAGCTGATTGGCATTTACTTGTGGCAGGTTCTCCTTGGCGTCTCAGCAGGGAGGGGAAGGGTAATGGTGGGTTGAGAGGATGATAAGGGGGGTTTAACCTTAATGGAGTCTGAAAGAGGATGGGTGGTGGGGATGATAATTTAAGACAGGGGTGAAGGTTGCAGCGGAGTGATAAAAAAAACATCCTCTCGAGCCTCATATCCTCCATATTATTCCAGTGGTGGTAATGACTCCTGCTGAGCTGAGGTTAGAGGATCAGAACTCTGTCTGTGTGCGTGCGTGTGTGTGTGTGTGTGTGTGTGTGTGTGTGTGGACAACAGCTGGACTGACTGGCCAGCTGTCACCTTTCTCACATATAAGAAAGACTTGCCCCTCCTTTCTGGCCATTCCCCTCTTTCTCCCCCTTACAATAGAGCCCCTTGTTCTCACCTTTTTGCATGCTTCCCTGTGATTTTTCTATTAAATGTTTTGGCTCTATATCGTGTTTTTTTTTTTACCTTATAGTGTTACATTCACCTCAACCTCTCAGTGTTTGCAAGAGTAATGGAGCAGGTAGATGATTCAGGGTTTCCTCCTTGTAAGAAGAACCCCTACATCCTGTCCCAATCTGCTTATTGTAATAAGGTGTGTGAAATGATTCTTGTCATTGTCCCTCCACTCAAACAGGTGGCGCTGAAAAGCTGTCCAGTTCAGTCCATTGTGGTTTCAAAACCAGAGCAAAAGAGCATGTTTTGCACAATGCCCTGAGGAGGATTAAAACTGAGAGATTTAGCAGAATATAAAGAAGTGTGAAACCTACAGTGGGACTTTTTACTGTATCAGAAGCAGAAGTGAGCTGACACACAGTTCATTCAGTGTGAGAGCAGTGTTGGGTAAGTAGACATGTAAATCTGTCATAAACAGCTGTCATAAAGTTATTCAAATGTGCTGTTGCTGTCACTAAATAATGTGTAACTGCTAGAACAGATCAGAGTTTAACCGTTCCCATTGTTTTAGAGCTTGTGAGTGTAAAAGCGTGTTGGGGAAATGAGGCTCCTGCTGGCAATCGCTCTCATTCTCCTTTTCCTATGTGAGTTTATGGTTCTTGAGAAATATATTGATATGGTTCAGCAATTTAGCTTGCTGTTGCTCTGTGAAGGCATCTGCATGACACATTAATTTCTCTCTGCATATCTGTGTGTTGCTCATTTTTCAGGGCTTCGCAATGCTCAGATGTATAATGACACCTTGTATGGGAATCCTTGTGAGGTAAGTTGATGACCGTAGTTAGGCCCACTTGTGCTCTAATACAGTGAGAAAACACTATAGTTACCCACAATTGTGCTTTTTTGAAGAAACTGTTGTACATTTTTTTTCTTACTTACTATACTTTTACCTCTTCAGGCCCCAAATAACTGGAGAGCCCTGGTAGCTGAATGGTTATAGTTCATATCACATAACTGCAGTGTCCATTATTTGATTTCAGCCATGTCATACCCCTCTTTCTGCCCATGTTTCCTGTCTGCCTCTTCACTATTGACTGTCCTATAAAGGCTGATTAATTGTAATCCAAATTTTTTGGAGCATTTGAGTGTCTTTGAGCACCTTGGTTTTTTTTGGTTTTCTGGCTTGCAGCTTGACATTTTGGTTCACTCTGACTGCTCTCATAGACTCATTTCCAGCTGTAGAAGGCAGCAAAAAGTTTGCTGTACCAGCTTAAAAAAATGATAATATGCTGGTGTTGTGTAAGCACATGTTTGGAAACCACTGATCTAACGCACTAATTCCTTTTCACCCGCATTATGTCACATTTGCACTTTTTATCTTTTAGGCAGTATCCATGAGCGAGGCCGCAGTGTCTCTTCTCTTGTCTCCTCTGTCTCTGTACTCCTGGCTCGCCTCCACGCTGCTCAGACTCATCCTGTCCGTCCCGGCTCTTGTCCTCAGCTCCCTCTATCACTCCGTGCTGCTGGTCCTGGCCTGGCCTTGGTGCATTGCCAACGTCTGTGTCTCCCTGCTTCTGACTTGTCTCCATGTAGCCTTATACCTTCTTCATCTGGTCCTGGTGGTTGGGGTTGTGGCCATTTTAACCCTCACGCAGCACAAAATGGCTGACAGTGACACCACCAATGAGAAAGTGTTGTACCAGCAGGAGAAACTGGAGAGGCGTCACACCAAACCCAGACTGAGTATGTTTGTTCGAAGAGCTGTGCAGCAAGGCTGAGTTCTGCTGTAAAATGATCATATGGTATATTTCACTGAGTAAAAATCCACTCTAGTTTGTCTGAAACTGCTTTTACCTTCATTTATGTAATGAACATACAGCTGTAGTAGATTTTTTTTATACAGATTCTGTGTTTAAATTGGCTTTGGAATACTTTGTAGGAAGCAACAGAAAAAAAAAGCACTTATTAGTGTGCGACCGCGTGACCTAAATGAGGGTGAAAATATATATGCTAGTTGCTACTTTAACAAACAGCCTGCAGTTGTCCACTTATCTATCTCTCTCATTTTCTCTCTCCACGTCTTTTAAATGTGTCCCCCCCAATTATCTACGGATTGTTGTGCTGTTTTCTTCCCATCTGCAGATGTTATCATTAGACATGTCTGTCAAATGTAGATGAGCGGATAAGAGAAAAGAGAGAGGAATAAGAGAATATTTTCTGCATTCATTGTGCCTTTTAAATGTGTGTTTATACAGTGCAGTCCAACAGCGCAGGGCATGCAAACCATATTCCTGAAAAACACTAATAAAGGGAGTTAACAGGGAGAGAAACTACATGTGGTATAGGCGTTGAGCCAAGACAGCATATGCTTGGCCAACCAGTAAACAGTGTGTGCTGACACGCTGTGGCTCTCAAATCTCAGGGAAGCATTAAAAATTTGCAGGAAAAAAACAATTTTATCAAAACTATTAACACTCCAGCCTAAGGATGTAGCCATAAAAAGTAATGGGTGAACTTTCTGTGCTGTTGTAAATGTGTGTGAGCATGTGTGTGAATGAGACAGACAGAGAGACAGAGGGGAAATGAGGCTGGATCATAGAGATTTATTACATGGCCGTGGCATCCTAATTAGCATAAAGACTGGACCGGCCCACTCAAGCAGAGAATTAAAAACCTTAATTGTGCTGTCAGCCTTCCTCTCTCTTTCTCACTGTTGACTCTACTTCATTCCACTTGCATTCGTCTCCGCCCGCTCTCCTCGCCCTCTCCTCGCTGCTTATGAAGTAGCCTCCGTCCATGCTGTTTAATTGTTAGTGATAAATGGGAAGCGGGATGTTTGTAATTGTCTCAGAGATGGGGAGAGGACGGCGGAGATCATCCGAATGAAGGAGAGGAGGAGGACAAGGAGAGTTTTTCTATATTAAAAGAGGAGAGTGAGGAGACCATTTATCAAATGTTTGTCTGAAGGAGGAAAATTAGCTTGGCAGACGCAGGCGAGGAAGCATTAGTGGGATTTGATCCCAGGCCAGACTGGGCCTACGTGTGGAGCCAAGGTTTTCCAGTATAATGCAATGTTCACATCCTATGGGGTGGATGGTAGAGATGGGAAAGGTTCACATTTATAACTTGCAAATGTTCCTGTTGTCAGACAGCTATTACATTTTGTTTAAATTAGTCACAAAAAAAGACTGCTGCTCGGGTGCTCTTCAGTTAGGGGATCCTTCCAGTTTCGAACTGCTGAAGAAAATCTGAGGCGCTCAAGAGGGTAGTGATTTAAAAAGCCTTTAATATCTCATGGCTATTTACTCACAGTAACAGTTACAAAACATGCCTACATGAGGCATCTATATGTGTTTGTTTGGATTTCAGACATTCAGACAAGCGCCAAGTAAAAACTTTCCTCGACATAATTACGACTTGAAAGTTGATGTAAATGTTATTTACAAGTCTAAAACGGGTAGTTACAGTAACTCCAATACGACATGAATACAGAGGTGGAAAAGTCTAAACATTTCTTTTTACATCAGTAGATGCAGTAGATATTCCATTTTCCTTCTGCTGCTTGTAGCTTGTAGTTACAATTATTAGTCTTTGCTGTTGTGTTTTTGGACTGCATTTCTGAGAGACCACCTGTAAATCAAACAGTACATGTCACTGCTGGATATCTCCTTTTAATTAGATTTTCTGTTAACATTTTCTTCCATTTTCTTCTTTGTATTGGCTGTCAGTGTTAATGCTAACTACACAGGTCTTCTTTTGCTGCCAGAAGAAACATGAAACACCACTCCCTGGGTGCCCGAGGATTTCACCCATCAAAGACCTACTAGAAACAGATTCTGTGTTTGAAATCGCTCCCTTGTTAATTAGCATTGAAGAGATTTGGATTGTCGCATCGTCACTATTTTGTGTCTTCACTGACAGATGTAGTGGGAGTTTTTTTTTAAACAAACTACATGCTGTAGAATTTCTAAGGG